ACTCGCTGACGCAACAATACTATATTTCAATAAAGGATTTTGTATAGCGTCTTCTGTCAAGTTATTTTACCATTTTCCTCATTAATACTTGGCTTGTAGCTTCCAGGACAAGTATTATCACTCCAAAAATGAAAGAGAGAGGATCGCATATCTGACATTGGGAAAATACCTTGTCTGATCCTAGATTTATATTCTTTAAGTTTTTAGTTTGTTTCTCCCCCCCCCAAAAAAAATGTATATTGTTACGTCTCTGGTCGTTTGTAAATTTCCCGTAAAAATTCCTACCGAAAAAATTCAGCGATACAAGTCCTTTCTTAAATCAAACTAGTTTATTTTTTTCTCAGTACAACTTTACAATACACTTAATTTCCACAGTCACTTTAACTTAACACACGCTAGAATTCACAACGATTCACGCACTTTATTTACGGCTTGACTCGATTATCTGTCTTTATATCTCTCTGTCTGCAATTATTCTCCCTCGTCACTTCTTGCCGGTCATATATATACAAAATAGAGGGTGTCTGGCAAACACTCGAGCCTTCACAAATGTTCTAGATACTCATTACGTGTTACCAGCTTCACGTGACTTCCGCTTACGTAACACTGTCCCTTTCTTAGTGTTGTTCGTCCCAAACAATAGCTACTTACATTAAACCTATAGATAATTAACAATAACTTAATTAAATAGACAGAATTTACAAACACAAAATTAAAATTCAACAAAGTCTCTTAATTTTACGGGACATATCTTCTTTCGTACTGGTCTCCATCTCATTAGCTTCTGCTTCACGTGGAGTTCATCTGCTCCATCGGGAATTGTCCTATTATCGGTAACAGTCACATCAGTGGTAGTAACTTTATAAATGGCTTCACTGTTTCCCTTCTCAAAACTGGGTAGAGTTTCTTCTTCGACAGTGGGTTTTTCAGGTGACACGTCTTCAGCAGCGTCATTTATTCTGTGGTTCACTTTGTTCCAACTAAAATGTCCTGGACCATGATAACGCCAAAGCCTGTTGGTATGCACCACTTTTGGCTTACCTCGCCGACCACATTTTTTTCGGAAAGTCACGTCTGAGAGACGATCCACGATGTCATATGGGTCTTCCCATGGAGAAGACAACTTAGGAGACTTCCCGTTTGTCTTCCTGAGATTATACAACCACACCTTGTCTCCTGGTACAAAGCCGACTTCAGTAGATCTCTTATCATCACATATCTTCATGGAATGAGCAGACGTTTTCAAGTTTCAATGCACTTAATGTGAATATCATCCATCCTTTCAGATAACACTTTCACAAAATAT